GATGGGAACATGTTCCCATCGTCAAGACAATCCGCTACTCCTATCCACCTTACATCAAGTAGAAATTCCCTCTTCAAGGTTGCTCTGTAAAAGAAGAGTCCTGGTATTCGGTCCCTGAACTTTTGCGGGCGGTGCACATTTCTGGTAACTCCAGGCCATTCAGTGTGCCAAAGCTTTTACCTCAAACATGTATTTTTTACCGAATGACAATTTCTCAGCAAAGAAGAACACTTACCAAACACTGTCATATTCGGCTGTCCAGTTGGAATGCACACACATAAATGTATCATGACGGTAACTGGGAATGCTGAGCACTGGGAATGCCACATGTAGCCCACTCCGCTCTCACCCACTGCCCAGGGAACACTGCCCGGGTGCAATGCCAAAGCAACTCAGGCGGTAGTGGGTGCTTTTTTCCGTTCATCTCCCATTCACTGATGATTTGACCTTTGCGGGTTCTGCATGGGTGACCAAAATTCTGAGAAAAACTCGGCTGGGAAACTGTTCAACATCTACGGGGAGTCCCACAGTGTGAAACTCCCTCAGAAATCAGTGCAACACAAGATCGATAGCAGATACTATGTGCAGTCCCGGGAAAAAAAGTGTGCGCACTGATACATGTATCTCTATGGCAATACTGTTGACATCACATCAGCAACATTTGTCTACTTTGTTGGTACATGTATCATCACAAGGGTAACATCCTGTCCGCTTCTCTTCTGATGCTGGTACAACCCCTTTCTCCACGTTTACAGAAATAGCTGTGTTTCTGTCCAAGCAGCAGTCTGACTTTCTGAGAAGCTGCACCAGAAACAACTTACAGTCACCACCCACACATATGGCAGAGTACACCGCTGCCGAATGAGTTACTGTCTGCTTCTCCGAACTCTTTGGTTGTGTTGGCCCAAACAGGAACTGCCAAGTTATACAGTCCTTGCTCCCTGACAGTTCAGGTAACGGAACGGTATCCCTCCTTCAAAGAAAAATACACGTCAACTACTGTTTTCCCTGTTTTTCTGAAAGAAAGAAGTTTCCAGTTTATACATGTACACCAGGGAGTACAACAATTGTATCCGACATGGGACACACAACATGGAGCTCATTACTTGGTACGAACTGGTTTTTTTTTCTGAATAAGATTGTTTACCATTAGTGAAAAGAGTGAAAGTAACTTAGAGGATTAGGCAGAGAATTTCAACTCCCCAAAACAATTGTCCTGAAATGTCAGTGAGTGGAACCACAGACTGTGTACGACATCGCAGCAACAAAGCAAGTTGGGGCTGATATATGTACACACATGAATGTTACAGAAACAGTGATCAAAAGAAACCAATTCAATACACACAGCCCGGACAGAAAACCACTGAGACGTAAAGCCGGGTGGCATCAGTTATGAAGGCTACCTCCGTTAGTTGTGATTCAGATGCACGGCTTTGCTCACTGTTGCATCAAGGCATCTGTATTTCCTACTCCAGAATACTGTTTGCAGCTCTTCTATGTACAAATAGATGTACATGCAAATGTAGAATACTCACCACAGTTGCATCTGCTTTTACATGTAGAGCCTTAGGAACTGAAACAGCAGCAAAACTGACCCACCTTTTGGCAAACACACTGGGCTGAGAGCATCTTTCCAAAATACGAACCTGACAAAAGCCAGAGAGTTGCATGCATGGTCCAAAGCTGCCTTTTGTGTTAATAAAAAAAACCCTCCAGTTGTTGCACCCGATAGATCAATGGCTCTTGTTCTTGATTACGTCAGTGGTGTTATCCAATCCCAGCAGCTATTGTGGCTGTTGTGCGTGTGGGCCTTTTGTCAGCTGTAACGAGAATCCAGGGTAACTGACTGCTGGCTGGACAGAAGCCAATGCCTTCAACTGGTGTGGTGTTAGAAATCCCTCTCAAAAACCTCCCCCAACAGACAATTACCACAAAAAACCAGAACCGTCGGAGAAGCTGTCGACGTGGTGGAAGTTGTACAGGTTCTCTGGAAATGTTGCAAACACGTCACCCCCGAGGATGTTGTTGCGATCACCTGATATGCCGTCTCTTTATCAAGTTTTACTTGTCATGGTGTACATGTTGACTTCAGACTGGCCTATTGTCGTCAGTAAGCGTGTACCGTACAAATCTGGCTAAAAGACAATCCACCTGTAGTGAACTTGAACCTTTGCCCGATCCAGCTCTGGTTGAGTCAATACATGGACATGGGTTTCGGGGGGGGGGGTAGGGGAAGGAGAGGGAATCCACATACAAGCAGATTGCGCACAGCTGGTTGACAAAAGTACAGCTTACAGACTTTCCGAGTGATGACGCCATCTGCCACTTCCCACTGAACACGTGGGCCGGATGGACACACGGCACGGGCGTACATTCGTATCGATCGGACCGGTTGTTTCCTCTAACCCACATGCCAAGTACCGGTATGAATGCTCACGTGTACACATTTTGGCCAAGCTTCAAGCGTGCTTTGCTTAACATGTTCGTCAAGCTGACCAGACAAGAAACCTGATGTGCCATTTTTCAATGTGCATTCAGCGAGACATGAACTGTACTCAGCAAAAGCCAACTCCTCCATTAGGTTAGTCATCGAGTCAAAGAGACAACAATTTTGTCCAAAATGCATCACGGGAAAGACGGGCATCATGGGAAAAAAAGGCTGTCACACCACATGAAATGAAACACACTGCAAATTTTTTTTCACACAAAAAAAAATACTGGAAGGTACATTGTACAAGTACATACATGTATGTACTGGTTATGTACATGTATCATACAAGTACATGTGCTACATGTACATTTGTAGTTGACTTTTTCTCTGCTAATAACCATTTTCTTATCTCTACAAGACTATCAAATGTACATGTACATGTACATGAACAGGTGCGTGTTCTTCTACATGTACATGTACTACCGTACGCACTTGTACATATATGTACATGTACATGTATTTAACCCAAGACGTATTACTGGTACAGAATGAAACAATGTCCAGTCAACCCAAATACACCTTGCATACCTGTCCGGAACCATCCACTTTCAGTGTACAGGTGCATGTCCATTCAGACACCTGTGTCTCGTGCCAGATCCTCTAGATACAGAAGGGTGCTGTTCACCTTCCCTCAGTTATGAGAGAGTAAAAAACAAATCAGCATATTACTGTACATGGACTTGATAAATTTGCTGTCTCAAACCTCTGGTATCCTTTGGACAACGCGGTCATCATTTTTCACAGAAATCCCCAATGTGACAGCTACCAGTAAATAATTTTATTGCAACATGAGGGTTTCTTTTGTAAAACATGCACGTGCTATGAACCTTTTCCTTCATCAACCACATCTCCATGGCAACCCATTAAAACAACCAAATTAAAAAGCTTCCAATCAAAAACTGACACTTGCACTGTAACCAACACCAGCAGTTGACGTCATTATAATGTCACTGGTTTATGGCTGCAATGTGTCTCAGGACACCGAAACTAGATTTTCATAGACTGCATGGTTTGAGATGAGACAGGTAGACACAGATGTAACGGTACATGTAGCTACACGTACAAAGCTAAATAAACCCTCCTCCTGTTGCATGGATCTTAATACAAGTAGATTTGACACTTCATAAATTCCACAATCAATATGAAAACCACATGTACATGTAAATGTGCGTCATGCGTCATGCCTCAAACAGGGAATTTTCCTTGAGCTACAAAAGTACATGTAATTCGTATAGTACCCGGTATTTGATGACTATTGTATCCCGTTACACCTGAATGGTGTAATTTGATAAACATATCACTAAAATTGATTTCAAACTTTTTCTAGTTTTTTGGGCAGGTACAAGTAATTTGCATTAATCCATCACTCTTGGAAATTACAGAATTTGTTTTGAACTTACAAATCCGACGTGCCAGGGACAGGAAAAAAACTGGGCCCCTAATTTTTGGAATTACCCATATCCTATTTTATCTGTAGTGGCGGTACCTGTACATGGAAGTTATAAGACCTAATCGCTATTGCTATTTCTTCAATGAAGATGTCCCTCTATCACAGAGGTTTCTTTTTAAAATTTGGACTTTACAAGAATCAGATAAAGCTTCCAGTATGTGTTGCCATGGTAACAGAATGCTACCTTTGTAGCCTTCCCTTTTGGGTGTAACACTACGAACATCTAACAAAAGAAACACAGTGCACTAACAATGAGTATCGACGAGAATTTAATATCAAATCAGTGCTCAAGAATTTAATATCAAATCAGAGCTCAAGAATTTAATATCAAATCAGAGCTGAAGAATTTCAAATCAAATCAGTGCTCAAGAATTTAATATCAAATCAGTGCTCAAGAATTTAATATCAAATCAGAGCTCAAGAATTTAATATCAAATCAGTGCTCAAGAATTTAACATCAAATCAGTGCTCAAGAATTTAATATCAAATCAAGAATTTAATATCAAATCAGAGCTCAAGAATTTAATATCAAATCAGAGCTCAAGAATTTCATATCAAATCAGTGCTCAAGAATTTAACATCAAATCAGTGCTCAAGAATTTAATATCAAATCAGTGCTCAAGAATTTAACATCAAATCAGTGCTCAAGAATTTAACATCAAATCAGTGCTCAAGAATTTAATATCAAATATTTCAGAGCACTGATTTGACTGATTTGGTATTAAATTCTTGTCGATCAGTGCTCTGAAATATATTTCAGAGTACTGGGGGAGGGGGGAGGAGGACAAATGTTTCACAATTTTAGAAATGAATCGTCATTTTCCAGGATGGAAATGTGTGAAAATTGTTCCCCTTTTGAGGTTAACTTTCAATTGGAATGTACTGTACCATGGACTTCGATTTGGGTTTGGTTTGAACCCACATTGCCATGTGAGTCCAGCAATGTACGGTAAGTAATACACCACAGCACTTTCCAAACTTTTTTTTTCTAAGTTATACAAACAGAACTCTACCTCAGAATTGGAAATTTACATTTTAAACTGTACAAAATGTTCTTACCGAGCATGCGAACGTAAATGGCCGCTTTGTCCGTCCGATCAAACGATATGCCTCCCCTCCTCTGAAACAAAACGAAAAAATCAGAATCGAAAACTGAAATTAATCATTTAAAAAATTCAAAATTGAACCATGAGAAGTTAGTCAACACATTTCAACATATATACGGTATGTACATGATCAGTACTGTGCAGGGAACCAATGGTATTGTTCTTTCCAATTAAACTTTCAGCAGACATCTATCAAGCCCATTTAAAACAAAATGTGCCAGGGTTTCACCTTCCTCAATCCTGCCGCAGATCCTTCAAAACCAGAATGGACTTTGAACTTTGACCGTTGAACGTTTGGGTTAATTTCTTAATGGGAAAAATCCTGTACATTTCATGCACCGGCACATCCAAAAGACAACAGAGGGCATGTACACAATTCTCTACATATATTGGTAAAAAAAGGGTGCAGTAATACATGTGTACATGTTTGTATACACGTGCCTCACAGAATGGCTTCCTGTGACAAAACAAGTTCTTTTGGGAGAGTCAAGTACATCGTAATTTCCACAAAGCACAAAAAATATTCATCAGAGGGCCTGGAGGACTTGAGGATCACTGATCCATACATGTACATATCAACGTGTACATGTACATCCATGCACTTTGAAATCGGCTCCATTTCTGAAGCAGACACTACAGGCCATAGCACACTTCTATTCCCCATCTACATGTACCACATACGGTACCTGTACAATGCCGGTAACCCTCATTGATTAATCAATTCCATCCCCGATTGTACTCAACTGGGACTTGAGTATGTCTCAGGGACTTTGGCTTCATTAAAGCCTGCTACATGTATGAAGTCAACAATCTCTGTCGGGCTTGACTGTGAAGCGAAGATGAACGCCGCTCAAGTATCATGAAGGAGAGATTTATGCAAGAAGCAACGCTGACGCCCTGCATACCGTATATCGGAACAATTACCAAACTGCTTTCGCCAATTTGAATACTGATTGGCACTGCATGTTATGCAAATAATGTGCCTGTTTTGTACACACTGATTGGGAAGGACACCTGCCAAGGACTCTGGGATATCTTAAGGAAGAACTCAGCACACTGCACAACCCTGGAATCCTGATCCTACCGAGAATTTGTGTCACACTGAGATACATGTACATACATGTACATTGTCCAGTGTCATGTACATGTACAGTGAACATGTGCCATTACAAATGCTCACCTGTGTTGACAGTGATTTACACTACACATGTACAGTGTATGTATAATGTCACACTTCACTAGATTACTGAAAATGGGTCACTTGGGAGACATTCCCATAGGAACGTGCACAAAATTTTTCAAACTTTACTGTCCCATAATTCAATATTCCCTAATCCCACCTTAACCAAACTTTGCATGTTTTCCTTTCAGACCCTAATCTATCATCTCTCAAAATGTGGACCATCAAAATTTTCCTCCTTTTGGTAGTTGAAGCATTTGGAGACCGATGTCTCCCGAATGTTGAAAAATTTACCACAAAATGTCTCCCAAGTGACCTACAGTATTTGGAAATATACACGTACTGGTACAATGTAGCTTGGTAACCCACCAAGTTTTGCTCTTCTCCTAAAGTGGCCACCCAGTTTTCAAAATCTGGTGGCTACAGTAAGTTTAGCAATTACAACAATGTACATGTATGGTGCTACATTGTACACATAGTGCAGTACAGTGTACATGTACACTGTATTTTTACATGTATGTGGTTCCATCAAAGAATATTCATTTCACAAAGGCAAAGCAATATCTTCATGATGCATGTAAAGCTGTCCACAAATGACAGAAAATGCTTTAAATCTATTCAAAAACATAACAAAACCAACATGTTCATGTGCCGCTAAGATGCTCAATCACCTAGGAGACATTAACTCAAAACAAGTGAGAGAGTCCTTGGGTTATAAACATGTACCTGTATAGACACGTACATCCCACACTACATCCACGCCTGTATTCGTATCAGTCTCCATCAAATTTGAAATTTAAAATGGGGTGAAAATTGAGATACAAGGCATTAGCAGGATTAGAGACACTGGACAGCGGAAATTGGGAGGGGATCGGGGAACACCAGAAGACATACATGTACCAAGCACAAGGAGACCCATGCTCATGTGGGCCGACTCAACGTGGCATGAATTCTCTAGCAAGTGGCGGGTGTATCAGTCCTGTGGTCGGGTCTGGGCATAGAGCACAAGATAAAGAGCCTTCACCTGAATGACTGAACCCCTTGCAAGTTCCACGGGGATGGAGTTGACAAATCGGGAAAAAAGAAACTCATGGACCACAACCCTGATTGGAAATGGTGGCTGATTGTAACACTTTGCAGTCAAGGTCCAGTTGAGACCTTTACCGAGTTTAATCTAGGTCAAGTACTAGTAGTTCATGATCGGGTACTGTTCATGGGTAGTATGCAGGACAGCCTTCGTGCATGTACCATTTTGTACCTTAACATGTAACATCATCAGTACATTCAGATCACACTTACATGTATGCAAGTGATAGTTCAATCCTTCAAGCTCGCTCTAAATGCAAATCACTATGGCAACATGGCCCACAGAGAAGCTATAATGTAGGGCTGATGTTTCTATGAGGCCAGCTTATGGGGCCCATGTGCTCATGTATCATATCCTTGTGCATTCCTATCACATCGGACAGAGCTGCACCTCTGTGGAGCCTCTTCTAAATGAAGGCGAAAGCAGCTAAGCCAGCACCAGCAGTTTGAGATTTCAAAATGCGGCTTCTGTGGTTGCAATTTATGCGCCGCAGGTCCCCAAGAATCAATGTGGAGCAACAACGACGGGGTAACTGGCCAGACGGAAAAGCCAAGGTTTCATGACCTGCATATCAAGCCACCGTTTTCAGGGCGATTCGCTTGTGATCCGAATGAAAGCCAACACTGCGCTGTGGGGAAAAGCGCAGACCTAGAATTGAAAAAAAAAGAGGCTACAATTTCAAGGCAGGACCAGACAAGACAAAACATGATGAGACGGACAGAGCACAGGATAAGACGAAACAGGTACAAGCAACTGCAATGAACTAACAAAGTGCTGGCACTAACATGCCTACTCGCAAGCTGGCGCCACTAAAAATGGACTCATCACAATGCCCACTGTCTGCCCCGAGCTGAATTGCACCCCCAATTGGCAAAAAAGAGACAGCTGGTTACAAGCGAGTTCTTGCACGTGTTCTGCGTGTTCGCAAAGACCATACATGCACATGCAGGAGTAAATTAGTTATGCGTACTCAGCCTGCTCCGCATCAAACGCGCATGTACTTGCACACCTCATGGCGCGTCTATGCAGTGAGTACCCCAAAAAGCACGCCCTCTTTTGTTTCGCTGTTCACTCCTGTACATATACCGTATAACCTGCAAGGTACAGTACATGTACAGTAAATGTTTCAACAAATGTCTGATGCTCTCTCAAAACCCTCCTATGCACGGATGCACATTCCATACCAAATTTCTGATCGAGCAAAACCACTCCAAAGGTAAGTGATGCATAAAGAATTACAACAAGTGGAAGGAATCGTTGATGGTCCATGACTGTTACAAGCACGGCATATTATGGAGCTTGACTTGCGAACATCCAAATGGACAGTAATAATCTGCCTGTGAAGTCATACAGCAAGGTCTTGCTGACTTGCTCTATCACTTAACTGAGCACAAGCAAAACAATCTTTCTTCACGTGCCAGTGAAGTGATTACATCATTTGAGCTCAAAGATTTACGTTGGCATAGTAACCGGATGATGCTTCCAAACATGGCAACCACCACTACCTGCTGGTCCTCTTCTGTGAGTCCATGTTCATAAAAGAAGCAACAAGCATGATGGAGAACTTTGGCAGTGATTCTAAAATTCTAAACTTCCAAGGCTTAATTCAGTTAATTAACCCATCAATTTTGCCCAGTTTACCAGGAACTCGTTCACTGTACAAGTAAATGGACGATCCAGTTATTATGCATGAAACATGATCCATTGCTACCGAATGCGCAGTGACATAGGTCAGTATTACACTATAACACTTTGCCCGCAAGAGCTGTGACTGTCCCCCCAAAAAAACCAAAAACACACGTGTACATGGTCAGTCTGGGCCTCCACTTCTGCGACTGGATATAGAGGTTATTGATGACTAACAGACCTTGCTACATGTACAGAGGAAAACTGTAATTGCCTCTCTCTGGCACTTGACAGGATTACATCTGTCACACCAGGTTGTCAGTGAGTAGAGGGGCAAACCGCTGATGACAGTAATGGCACCATTCCTTCAGATTGTTTATGATGTTCTTATCAAACCCACTTGCAGAGGCTGGTCCACTGAGACTTCAAGACAGCCCATTACTTGGGCGGTCTGCTCAGAGGCAATTACATGTAGTCTTGTTTCCAGCTGTTTATTGGGTTTTCAATCTAAAACAACTTCAATGACAATGCCACACTGGGGAATGTCCATGATTTTGTTTGGCAAAGCACTCGTCAACAGCAAAATGACTGATCATCAACGGTGTAAGGGGAAAGGGGGGTTAATTCCAAGGCAATGGAAATCAAACTGGTGATTTGGTCCTCCTCCTGTTATTTTGGGAATCTCCCGGCAAAATTCAGGAATTATCACTCACTGCTTCTTGACTGCTTCTAAACTGCTGCATTTTAACAACGAAAACCATTCGACTCACAATCGTGCTGAAAATGCATATTTTATCGTGTACACTTTACTTTCAACCGATAAACTGTTGATTCAATCATACACACAGACTTCAGCTCAAATTGTCCGTACTCCTTACACTGCCGCATTGGCGTGTTTATTCAGTGCAAGAGCTGTTCAACAAAGGCCAGTCCAAGTGACTTTTTTTTTTCTTTTTTCAACACGGGCAGAGACAGAGTCAATATTTTTTCTGGAAACAGCTAGAAGTTTGTCCAGAAGGTGCTTCACCTTGAGCGAAACTTGACAAAGTCTGACAGCTTTTCATTACTGGTAACATTTGTTGGCATCCCCCATTCAGCCATTGGGCGCTAAAGAGCTTCTG